TTCATGTTTCAAACTTCCTTTGGAGATGCTGTAAATATCGAAGGACACGTTTGCTCAACATCTAATTACTTTTCAATAGCTCACATGTTTTTATTTTCTATCTTTTCGCAAAAGGAATCATTATTGGAGAATTTAACCAGTCCAACTCTTTAGATATCACCACATATTCAGATCAAATGAATAAACTTCTTTATTCAAAAGGCTTAGTGTGTCTGCTGTGAAAAAGAAGTTTGAGCTGGGAAAATGTAACTGCTTATGTGACAACTGTAACACACTGCGAGGTAAAAACGGGGACTACAAAATGTAACATATTTATTTCCCCTGCCCCTTTCCGTATTCATTAAATACTATGGGAAAATTAGACACCTCCCAGCCGAATAGCGGTCTATCATATTCTGATACGAAATAACAGACGATTGTTAAATGAGATGATGCTTTATTTTGATATCAAAAAATAGTAATAAGTTAAGGGCCGATGTTCCACCGTGGAGTGCAAAGGCATCGAGTGTTGACGTAAGAGCACCTGGAAAGAGCAACATTGAACACAGTTAGCTCAGATTAATGCCCTGAATACAAATAGCCTGTTGCTTGTTAGTTCGTTGACAAAAACATAAGCCATGTTCTGCTAAGACGCTTAAGTGTCCTATGAAAACTAACGTAAATAGACTGAATTTTAGGATGAAGAAATCGCTTTTAATAACTCCTCAATTTAAACACGGGGTGAAACTCGTATGTTCCGGTCTTTGCAAACATAGCTAAGACATCGCAGACAAGCTAGAGTTTTTTCCTCTACTTCCAATAAAAACATATAGATAATAAATAATTTTATAGCATAATTATAAGCTTCTGTCTACCAAGTTTCTAAATCTTAGTTGCTTCACTCGCATGGTACGTATCAATATGTAATTACATAAATTTCAAGTTAGCTAGTGATTACAGCTAGCGCCTGTTCTGAAAACTTGCTCGACACACAGACCGATCCACGCACTGAGAACTAAACGGTAATGCTTCAACAGGTCAGGTCTTTGGAATAGGATATACGAAGGTTCTAAATGATAGATAAATAACTACCATAGAATTCCGAAAGTACTAACTGTACCCACATAAACAAAACAGACTGTACCGGAAAAGGCCGTTAATGTTGGTAATATAATGCAGGGCGAAAGTATAATGGACGCATTATATCACAGTGTTACTAATTACAATGTATCATTTGACCCTGCTGCCTGACAAGTACAGTCTAAGTACGGCTTATAAATCATAGTTTCAAGATAGATTCAGAAGAGTGCGTGATCAAACCACAAATAAATAACTCTTTAAGTTGTTCAGTCTTGCAGTCAGGCTGATCCTTGTGTATTGTGCTTGAGATACGAAACATGTAATAATTAAAGAGAATGAAAGAAATAAGCTACTTGTTTACTTACCACAAGTTATTGCAACATTGCACGCACTCTACAGGCGGGGCTGGATTTCGTTTAACTGCTCTCTCAAACTCTGGTCGTTCTAGTTCCAGTCCCTCTGAGTCACCAGTTTCCGGGTCAGGACTTTGGTAAAAGGGATAAGGATTTCCTACCCAAAAAGTGTTGAAAGAAATACTTAAGCGGTTAAGGAAACTGTTCCTCAAATGAGAACAGAGTTAAACATTATTCTGGAACATTATATTTTATCACACAAGAACACGGAAGAGAAAAATAGTCGCGTTTCACTGGCAAGTTCTCATGTTTGAGTAACATAGACTATCTTTTTTCATCTTGTCACTTGATACTTGACAATGCATTCTTCTCAATAAAATCCACCATAGTTGAAGATGAGTGCGAAAACAGTGTTTCCGAAAATAATTGTTGAGAGTCATATATTTTTTTGTAATTTCGATTATATATCTGTAAACAAAAAGTATCAAAAAAGTGATTTCATATAAAATATGAGGAAAAACCCGTTGCACTGACTTCTTCTGTAAGTATTAACAAGATAAGTTATGTTATTCCTGATAGAAACCGTTGGGCAGTTTGTACTGATTTATGTTAATATTCTCATGTGAACGCAGGTTAGATTGAAGTTGTCTCCTGTTTTAAGTTGCTTGGTGGCGTAAACTGCATTCGCCGTGGTGAGACGAATAAACTCTCTTACTTTTAAAGGATAAAAGATATTGTGAGCGGACGAAACGATTTTTCCCCAGGTAACTTTCATCTCAAATAACCGGTAATCGCTCTTTATTGAGGGGAATGATAACAATAATTATCAGGAGTTACCAGTACTGTTCAACGAAATATGGTAAATCGCTTAATTGCAAGTAGAATATCGAGCATATCGCTACTGACAAGTATTAACAGTTGCTCTTGAATGGATTTCTCTCGCATATCTCAATAATATAGATTGAACTGTCTTTGGACAGTAAGAAGAGAATCACTTTGCCTTGAAATCACAACGAATAATGATAGATATTCTGAGAATGTTATAAGTACCTTGAACTCTGACTGGAGGGGTTGATATCGTGCACGAGATAATCGTACAGAGGACAAAGTACCCAAACCAGAGACTGGCTTTCCCGGTCATGTTCCTTCGACGGCGCGTACCTAGTGTGTTACTGAAGCACAACGATTATCACTAGGTTTTTATGCCAACTGGTGGAACAATAATGAAGTATTTCTTTCTTGTGATATCGCACATTAGCCCAGTAATTTCAGAAGAGCTTGACAATAAGATCGAGTAACGCGGAAACCCGGAAATTAAAAGTGTTCGTGGAAAATTGAGCTCCACCCACGGACAAAAAGCTTTGATAAGCTTCTTTTTGTACAGTGAAAAAGAAATTGGTTACTTGAAAGTGAACTTAATGAAACACGCGGCGTAGTTAGGGTGACGTCAGCTCTTTTATCTTTGATGTTAATAGGATGAGTCAGAAAACGTTACTTTGTGTTCGAGCGGAAACTATCAGGAAAATTGGAATAGGAACATTTATTGGGGATTTACAGCACATCACAGGAAAAAAAACTAGAGCATAAACAGCGAACAGTTACTATATTTTTACAGTGATTTAAGAAATTGATAAAAATATGGGATTCTAAAGGAAACGCGGCTTAAGAATACACAAAAGAAAGAGTGAGGCAACAGGTGGCCGGACAAACTTTTAGTTTCAGTTACGCCTGAAAGCTACAATTTGAATTTATTCAAGATTGGAGAAAGGCACTATAGGTAATAAAAGGAACGGTATTTTCAATGAATCTGATTTCATTTCTTGCGAATCCTGATTGAAAAAAAAAAGTAAAAGTGATATATCAACTGCACTCAAAGGAAACGCAAGAAACACGTTCAATCATCCACATTTAAAGGTATAGGCAATTATCACATCCTGCAGAACGCAAGATCTCTTTAAATTTCCATAGCCTGTTATTCAGCCGATAAACCTTTTTTTTACAACGTGTTTATTACAGCAGCTTGTAGCTTGCGAGATAATCACCACACACTATTCATGTTTGACAATACAATCTCAGAAATGAGGCAATCAGGGAAGTAAATGGAGATCTCAAATAGTGTTTAAATTTCCGTCCAGATAAATGGATTTTCACCCGAGCGCGTGGGCAATAATTGAGGTCGAAACTTAATTAACATACGAATTGCCGAGAGGTTGGTTCTTACTTCCGATCTATAGGACAAAGGGATTATTTCATTCTATTACCACGCCCACTCACATCAATGCCTCAGTCACAGTATGCAGCTGCGAAGGCTTAAGTACTAAATCAGAGAAAAAAGGTTTTCTGTTAAAAGAAAGGATAAAGGTAAGCTAAACTAAAAGTTTTGTATATTTGACTGACAAAACGAATTAAGCGTTGACCGAAAAAGAGAAACAAGAACAAACAAAAAGTACGCACGGTTGAACCTGAAAATTGTGGAAGTTGCTTCCTAATACATACGGAAATGTACTGACAAAGGCGGGAAAACAAGAGATATAACCAACCTCCCGATTATAACGATCAAAATTTGCCGCAATGAGAGGAAATGAAGTTTAAGCGTGGTCCGTTAAGGTATTCTCTCATATTCCGAGATTTGTTTACCTCTATCTTCCTCTTTAATTTTGAAGGGGCTCGAAAGACTAGAGAAAAATTGTTATCTTAATTATTAAGCTGTTTTGATTGTTCGACCTAGAAAAATTATCCATGGCAACAGAGCCAACAGTGTGTGATGCAAGTCATCGATGACAAAAGTTAGAAAAATTAGGTCAGGGGTCACCGACAATAAAACAATCCTCCTCAGGAAAACATGTTTTAAAAGAGAAAACCTACTTTTGTCGTCCTCATTACAATCCCAGCAATTTTTTATACCGACGAATTTGTCAATCTTTTAGTTTTGGGTCGACCTGTAACTACTTGTCGATAACATCAACCCGTAGTGGTGGCGACCATCTTTGTTTTCAGCACTTTATTTTTCGTACAAACAAGCCTTCGCAGTGGACGCTAGTTACTAAGTATTGCGTAGTATCTTTTGCTTCTACATTTAATGAAGAGAAAGAGGAGTAAATGAGAAGTCGATAGAGTTTTTAAGGAGTCAATAATGAAATCTGTCACCGACTTTTGTTGTTTGTTGTTGTTTTCTTTTGGTTTTATGTATAAGCGTATACACCTTCGTTAATCGAGTTTTACCAGCCAGGAAGTGCCCAAAGAGAAAGCAGAGAGTCAGACTTTTCGACCTCTTTATAACAAACGTCATTTGCCTTCATATAATTAGAGGAACCTCTACCTTAAATTTTCACCAGTAGAGCTCTCCGAAAGTAGAATCCTCAATGTTGGCGGAAATAGAGAAGAGAAAGAAATAACTAGAAGGCAGGCAATGGAGAGGAAAGTGAAGAATTTAGACTGTACCAGGGACAGATTGAAAGAGTTGGGATCAGCATGGACGGGGGTGGAGGCTGTGTGGGTTTATTAAAGGGTTAAGTTCCTTTGTGCCGCACATCACCGGACGTGGTAAACATGATGCGTGACAGGTTTTCAGAATGACACAACTGAACATAGCTTATTCCACTGCTTTATTGAATATTTTATGTACGCGTGATCACAGAAAACGATCACCTTGTGCTAGGATCTAGAACCCTCGTAAATAAAATCTCAATTTAATCACTTAAGAACCAAATAGTTTAATTTACAATAAAATTCAAGCCAAAATAAAATATACATATGCACTTGTCAACCTAACTCTAACTTCAATACCCTACATTATCTTTTTTCTTTCTAAGAAAGAAACGATAAGAGACTCCTATCGAACTCCTGCCGCCAGACGGAACAGAAAGAGATTAAACCAATGCACGGAAAAGGTCGGATTCATGGATCTCGTCACTGACTTGGAATGCAGAACCGAAATACGATTAATAAGCTGTGGTTTGGAGAAAAAGAAATGTTTTATCTTGGCTTATGCGTCTAACATTAGTTTATAAACGTGCAGTTTATTGTTATTGTTTAATATATCGCGTTTAAAACACGCGAATACCAGGTGACAAATTGCAAACCACATCTGGCTAAAAAATTGCAAAATACTGCACTTCAAGCTATATATACAGACTAGCTCCTCAGTAGTCAACTTACACTGCTAATTACAGCATGTTGGCGATTAATTGGAAAGCGTTGATACGAAAAGTCAATTATTCCCTTTTGGAAGACTGTACGGACCTTCCCAGCCTTGCCCTCTTGCAACACGGTTTGGGGCACGCTGGCGGACAAACAGGGGTAGGTGCTACACACATTGGAGGGCAAGGAGGCATAGGTGGCATCATGGGTGGGACCATGGGGGGTGCTGGCTGCTGAGGAACCTGGATCTGTATGGCGGGGAGCTTGATTAGCATTGGCTTGGGCGGTGGCGGCTTGGTTGGTTTGACACATGGCTTTGCCGGTGGAGGCCCACAAGGCATCGGCATGGGCATTGGCGGCACAGGCATTGGCGGCACAGGCATTGGCATTGGCATGGGCATTGGCATTGGCATGGGCATGGGCATGGGCATGGGCATTTGTGGTACACATCCGGGTGTAGGTACTGGAGCGCACGGTTTGGGAGCAGTGCTTTTAGACTTAGTCTTGCCTGCTTTTGGAGGGGAAAGAGGTGGGCAGGCGTTGAAAGGAGTCGGGGTACAAGGCATGGGCATTGGCATGGGCATTGGCATCGGCATTGGCATCGGAGGAGGTGGTGGTGGAGGTGGTGGAGGTAGCATCATTACGCTGCATGGTGGATAAGTACAGCCCATTATGCGTAAAGGTTTGGCTGGTTTCGCCGCTTTAGCTGCCGGCTTCTTCGGTGGAGGTTTTGGGGGACAGTTCGGGGAAATATTTGGAATGCAGGGCGGTGCCATCTGTGAAAAGAAAGAGAAAAAAGAATTGCGATTAAAATTGGAACGAATCGAACAACGCTTTAAGTCAGGATTGGTTACAAATCAGATATCATAAATTTACTTTTATCTGAAAGCGCTCTATGTCTAACTTACATAATAAATTACATATATAAAAGTGCCCACAGATTATAAAGGCTGGAATAGGTCTGTCAATACCCATATGTATAAGCCCTCCCTGTCTCCTTCCACCTCTCCTCATCCTCACCTCGTCACAGAAAGGTTTTGCGTAAAGAACCACTTGTTAGTCAGTGAATTTATTGCATTTGCTCTTTTCTTCAAGCATTTTTATCGAATTCTCTTCATCCTTGTTATAAATTCCCGCTTTTGAATCTCATAAAAGGCCGCTCGGAACTCTTGCTGTCCTTTGCTTACTAGCTGTATTTGATTTTTATGGTGTTTCGTACCGCTATAACATGGACGTTTTGGCATGCAACACAATGGAGCAAATCGATTGCTTACCTGAGGCATAGGAAACTGAGGTATCATCATAGGCTGAGGCGGAGGTGGAGGAGGAGGCATCATTATTGGAGAGCATGGGTTTAAAGGAGTAGGAACACACTGCCTATAACCCCCTGCCTGTGGAACAGGCAACACAGCGCGAGACACCGGCCTTGAAGATACCAACCTAGGCATGATACGCCTGTATGCCGGTTGAAGTGGATATCTGTAAGTAATGCCGACAGGATTCACGACAGGCTTTGGAGCAAAGAACCCTCCTCTGTTTGCTGCAAGCGGCTTGGCGACTAGGTTCCTGCAAAAGTTGTTCATTACAGTTGGAACACACGGTGGAGCCGGGTACTGAGGAAATGCTGGCGGTGGGTAAGGATAAGGCACTGGTGGTGGACACGGTGTTGATGGAGTCGGTGTACATTTTGCCGCGGGTCGTTTGGCTGGGACCTTCGGTTGTGTCGGCGCTGGCTGTGTTGGTGCTGGTTTAGGCGGACATGGATTATATGGAGTGGGGACACATGGCTGGGGGGGTACGTATGGAGCTGGGGCAGGCGCCGGTCTGAAACAACAACTCGGTGCACAGCTTGACACGCATGAGGTGGAGCAGATAGGAGGGCAGGACGCTGAACCTAAAATCATAACCGCAAACGTTTAGATTTGCACTGTTTACTCTGTTGTCATGCGTCGGAACGAATGGAAATCGTACAAAATGACCTACATAACTGAAAAGTTAGACCTCACCTTTTGCTTACGTCAAGATTTGTGATGGAACTACAACAAGCGACGAAGTTGAACGTTGTCAGAGAAAAGTATAATTACCAAAAAATTAACGTTTTTATATACCTGGAGGAGCAATGCTAATGGAAAGCAGTTTAACTTGTTCGTTCAATGGCGCTGGTAGTTTGTTGGCGTTGGCACGAAGATAATCCTGAAGAGGTGCGGTTGGGTCAGGTAGAATGCCGCTTGGTCCGAACGTCAATGAAAGTTTGACAGTAACCTTCTTCTTTGGCCTGAAAATATATGAAAGTATTTTCATTTGGAGCACAAGTTAAAGAGACAACTCATATTTCGTTTCAGACATAAATTACTTCCTTCCGAGCACAAAATGATCAATACATAAGTTAGTACTGTGCCCTGCAAAAAATCCTCCAAAAAGCATTTAAGAAGGACATTTTGGCAGCTAAATTACACCTTTGTAATGGAAACCATGCGTTTATTCTTTACTGCGAGCCTTTACACTAACTAAGTAATGAAATGCACTGTAATATCATCAAATCGAAAGACGTCACTCCTTACTTTGTTGTTGGAACTTTGGGAGGTGTGGGTTTGACAGTAGGTTTGCTCGCGGCTCCAGCTGAGGGTTTGGGTTTGGGTGGCGTGGTAGGTGCGGGGGTGACTCTGATGGCAGTCACCTGACGCTTGCCCAGATAGTTGTATGCTGGGTATGCTTGTGCTGGCTGTGGTGGTAAACCATTGCTGAAAGGGATGACATTATTTTATTCAGTAAGTATCCTCAGAGAAAATATTTTTCACATAGTTGTGAGTATTTATCACATATTCGTGAATTACCACGATGTCCATCACTAAGGAATTATCCATTCAAAGAAAGCATCAGGATTTAACTTGGCCTATGATGACAGGGATGATAAAATGACTGACGTCATTGTAACAGCAGAATATCTGTCCAACTTACAAATTATAACAAATTAAATGCTGTTAGTTTGAAGGAATTTGCTCTAACTTACCTAACGGAGGTGATAGTGACAGCCTTAAGGTTTTTGACTCCCGCCTTCGTGTAAATTTCTTTGATCTACACATCAAAGGGGAAGCAAATGATCCATTATCAATGATTATACAACATCGCTGCTTTCTTATTGAGACTGATCATTTTGGAACCCAAGTTGCACAACCTTTGTCGCTTTTGGTTAATTCTGTTAAACTGACATGCACTCATTAACTTCATTTATCTATTTTTCTGTTATTAAACTTAAAATTGATCCAGGTACATGCAGTTTTGCTTTTTCTAAAAGCTAGTCTATTCAATCACTGTTAATAGCAAACATTATCTGGACAAAGAAATGTTTTATGCATACCGCCTGTTGGAGCTTTTTGGAAAGCTGCTGTGAAGCGAGGGAGCCAGGATTGCTCAAATCGTCCAACCACAGCATGGATTCTATTACAATCTTGAGGAGATAGGTTATGTCACCTAAAATGAACAAGCAAATTCCAATTACTCAATTGCTCCCAATTTCATGACTAAAATGAAATCATATAAAAGTGAATATATGAAACATCATCCTTTTTTTACGGTGGCAAAAGATTACTCAAGCACGGTCAGATTATAGGCAAAATTTTGGAACACTGCTCTCTTCAACAAATCTGGGAGTCTTGATTCTAGTTTATGGAAAATTTACGTCTCGTGACTTTACCACTCAAGTCGTCTGTTACTTTGAATGAAACTCCTACTTACCTTCCAAGGGCTTTTTGCACACATATGTGCTAGCTGTGGTACATGGATAGTCTGCCATCGTTCCGTATTTAGCGTCTTTATTGAACCCTATACAGTTTTCATTTTTGCCGGTAGGCTGACCGTTAACCCAGTCCATGAAGCGGATTTGTGATCCCTCAACTGACATATACATGCTCTCTGAAAGGCGGTCATTGAAACCGAGCCAGCTGAAACCTTTCTCGCCTTTCAAGAGCCCCTGTTTAAAAAATTCGTTTTCCGTTGTACTCCCGATTGGCGGCAGAAATGCAGATTCCTTGATACATTCTGCGTTTGCATTCATCCAGGTTTGTTTGTCTTTGTGAAGTTTGTAGCAGGATCCTCCGAATTCGGTAAATCCAGTCGAACATTTAGCTACGAAGAAATAGCAAAAAAGGGTGAAAAGCGGCAAAATCAGGAAGAATTATGCTTGCACAAAGTGAGCACTTTTCATTCACATGGCGGCTATAACAATGAAAGCGCTGCCTCTTATCTTATCAGAGCTATATCTCTCAACTGGTAAAAGATCAGTCAAACCATGCTTCAGCTAATGTAAGCATGGTCAGTACGTAATTGAAAGCTTATCTTCATATATTGAAATGAAGCTTGCATTGGGGCTGAGAGGATTAAGCATAACTATGTTAGCGATAAAACGGTAAACAACACAAATATTTTACCTCCAGGAACACTAGTGAAAAGATCTGAAACAAAGAGGGATCAAAGTAAGTCGAAACAACTGCATTGCAGTAAAAAGATAATTGACTAGTTGCAGAAATTATGAAATTATAAAGTCCCTTTGATAATTCAACAGGACCAGGCAGAAGAGGTTGCATGATCAACGATCAACGACAGAAATATGAAGATATATTTAGTAACCAACTGCTGAAAGCGATTGAATACTTCTTTAAAGTTTGGAAAATTAAATGTGCCACCTACAAACATACTCATAGTCCGTCAAGTGCATATCCCACCAATAACTTTCGGGAGTGGAAAATACAAAGTCTTGTGGTTTGTTTCTCGGAAAATGAAAGGTGCAAAAGGCAATTTTATATGATGTCCTTTAAAAACATTGGAAGGCTTGTGACTCAAAGTGACTAGGTACTTACTAGGCCTACTGAAAATTCTGAGGAACATTAAAAACACTCTTACCAGTGTATGATTTCACATTGTCCTTCAACTTAGATGCATCAGGGGCAGGATCTAGCAGCAGAGTACAAAAGAATCTTCCCGAAGGTCCTTTCTTGACCGAAACACCAGCATGTGTCGCTGCCTTGTAAACGGCTGTGACAAAAAATCTGTTGTTTTCCTTGATTGCTGGTTTTGACCAATCATAATCCTGCATTTGCCGCCCCCAAAACGATAAACATTCTGCAACCACTTTGTCTGAACTTGTTAGTTTTATACACTGCAGGGTTCCGTGTTTGATGTTGGGATCTTTCTTGACTACACCTGCCTTTTGCATTGCGTCATTAGCGGCCTTAGCTCCAATATCGAGGGTTGGCGACCAAATTACAGGCCCTGCTCCAAAGCTGCGACGCAAACCATTTAGCCCGTAGAGCAGTTTGCTCGCTATTTGCGCTGAGGAGAAATATGAGATGGATGAGATGGAATGAAAATTATGTTTAGTAATAAGTGTTAACATCTGTACATGCAAGTGGAAACTTAGACAAAAGGTAGCTTTCAGTTAAAGATTTATGTCATCAATTTGGTCAGAAAACAAATAAGAGAAATTAACAGTAGGACAGCAGATAAGACACTTATTAAAACAGCGTGATATTGATTTCACTCGGAGACAGGCCAATAACTTACCAGTACTGAGTGGAACCACAGCTACCTTTGGCTTGACTGCCGTTTTCGCTGCTGCCGCTTTAGCTGCTGGTTGCACGTTTAGTTGACTTTCGTCCATGACGTCATCCTCATCATCGTCATCATCATCAGTAAGCCAGTCGTTGTTGTTGTTGTTGCTGTTGTTGTTGTTGTTATGTCGTGATGCGGAATCAGAAAACGATGATGGTGCAGCCGACTCGTCACTGCTATCAGTAAATGCTGCAATTAAATCATTGCCATTGGTCAGTGTTATTTGTGAAAACATGCCTACACCATGCTGGATGCCGTTAAGCTGGTAAACCTGATAGTGTAAGTCAGAGATAACATACGATTCAAACACGTTTTCTGTTCATGCAGAAATGATTACAAATAATTGACGAACGCACTGTCACGACTGGTACACTATAGATACATCTAGCAACGGTAACGATCGGTAACTAAGCCCGCTATTCGACTGGCGCACGCCACAAAGAGAGTCAGTGTGTATGAGATGTGTTGATATCTGAGTTTAACCCTTGTTAGCTATACAATAGACTCCTATGAGTTATTTCTTAATATTTCGGGAAAAAATCCAAAGGGCTTAACTTATTATTATTCTGAAATCTTTAAATCTCTTAAGTAAGTAGTGGCTGTTATAGTTATTGATCAAACGTTATTATACTTAGTTATCTTTAAGAATTTTAGTTTAGAACTTTACATGTGCCACCCTGATTGGTCTATTGATTGAAAGAGAGAATTGTACTTTATTTTTAAATAAACTTCTGATTAGAATAGTATAATTTCTAAGAACTAAAATTATTCCCAAAATTCGCCATTCTTCGGCAGGTATTAATTGGGTTTTGCTGTGAAAGGGTTCCTTTTCCCATGGACTGAACTGACATTTTAGGCCTTAAAATGGGGTAGAACTTATTTTTAATATAAAGATCAAATCTGAGCACAAACCGTCATTGAGACTGGATCTTGTTGGAGAAAACCTGTCATGTTCTAAAGTTATCAGATGAAAAAGAGAGACATTAAATATATTGCCATTAGCTAATACAACAAGTCTTTTCATTTAGTAGTTTTTTGTAGGACTAGTTGGTTTAATTCGCGTAATTTGGTTTTAATGAAATCTCAAAATCTCAAAATGTGTCTATTTAGGAAAATTTCCAGTGATGGTGTTTAATTATTTTCCATTTTACTCCTGATAAAAGAGCTTGCCAATCTGTAACACGGCAACCTCAATTAAAGAACTTAACGGCAGAATGATGTCTTTAGCTCTCTCGATACACAAATATGTCAGTTAACACGGAATTAAATCCGCTTAGTTTGTGTAATAATGCTTTGGGAAAAAAGGTTTTTTAATAATTCAGTCTGGGAAAAAAGCCACCAGTTGACCTTAAGAAAAACATGCTTTTATTATGAGCACCTCTGTTCAGTTAAGTATGGCTAGTCCGACATAATCAAAGTGACTGCTAACTGAGCGACTAGAAAGGGGCTTGACATGATAGAACATAGTCTGTTGACAAGAGGTGATGATACACGGCAGTCCATCTTATTTCATAATACGGCACGTTATATTGCATCTACAACAATAGTGACTCAGAAATCTAACTAAAATTCAGCATTAATATATCGTTTGTTTAATCTATCCCACAACTTAAGGAATCTCACCTCTAGCTCTTACGAGGAGACCAAACGTTAGTAGAAAAATTGCTAAGAATCCCCTCATATCAGTCGGCTAGGCTTTCCAAACCTGTAGCGACGAAGGATACAAAGTAAAAGTGAGCAACGTTACGTCTTTGTATCAGTTAACATGTCGTTTAACATGCATGTAGCAGAAATCTTCCAACACATAAAGAAATAGAGCATTACACAAGCTAACTTACAGTTGCGGTATTTTTACGCAGTACGACAAGGATATATTCTATTATGTAATAAGAGCTTTTTTTCTGTAGAATATATTGCGGGATAGACTGAAAAATGGAAGTTTAGGCAAGGTTCTTTAGAGAATATATGGAATGGATTTTTTTGTACCCTTCAATAGTAACGCTGATGAACGGAGTACGGAGAAGTTACAGTATTTATCTCAATTGGGGAACTCAAAGGAATGCTACTTTGCTGATTCACACATCAAGGCATACCAGAATACTCTTTCATGTAGAATAAGTCGACTCTAGCAAACGCTCAGCTCTGTCCTATATGACAGCTAGTTTGATTTAGTCATAAGAAAAATTAAGACCTTAACAATACACAATCTTTACATGAAAAGTCCATCACAACAATATATAAGTTGCTTATATTTCTCTAGACAGATGGCAAGACTTCTGGGAAAGACGTGTGACTTTTGAGGTTTTCGCTTTTAACTACTCACATGAAATATTTGATATGAAAGATTCACTCTGAAAAAGAGCCAAAGGTTAAGTTAAACTCGCTATTCATTGTTCGACAATTGATTCTCCCTCACCTCAATCTCGAGTTTCCCTTGCTGATCAAAGAGCGTCGTCCCTACGATGAACAAACCAGTCACTTAGTATTACATATTGCACGGATCATTTCATATAATAACATACAATCTATAAACATGACAGGTGGGTGTAACATCAGGTATTCTCCTAGGCCTCTTTTTTGAAGCAATTAAACCCTGCAGTGTTACAGGGGAAATTTGGATTTTTTTTGTTCCAAGGAAAGGACAGGTTAAAATAAATTTCAAAGGAGTTGGCATGTTTCAGGATCTCGGAAAAAGTCAAGACATGCCAATCATTTGAAAGATAACATATATTATCTCATGTAGTTAAATTACCATATCACGACGGAATGCTAAATTCATAACAATATCGACTGAAGACTTATGTTGCCACAAACGTGTAAATTACAAGAAACAAAGCTAAAACACTGGCAAAAACGATGCAAAGTTTTGAAATTAATCAGCTGTAACAAGTGTTTTCTTTTCCACCCCATCTATCACATTTACATGCGACCTTAACGAAAGATCCATTTTCTTGTTTACAGGCTGATGACATTTCTACTTCGTCGTTTCGTAAATTGTTTTCCTTTGATATATAAACGATCACTTCATGGTGTGAACAAGATTTAAAAAAAACACTCTTTGCTCCATTACTCATGGACGGTCACAAGTTAAAATAACGATTTAACGTAAGACTTGAAGCGAAGTCCAAAATAACGTAATTCAATTCTTAATTCAGTCTTTATCTCCATCTGTTTTCAATGATGTTTCAATACCGAAATGTTTAAAGAAGGGCTTACGTATTTAAGCCACGGGGATAAAGAGCAGAATATAGGTTAATCCGCAAAATATCAAATTTGCGTCTGAACTAGAAATTCCAAAAAGAAACAAAACTGGAGATAAAGTAAAATTTTTCACATTGTCTAGGATGACATTTTTACCCCATATATCGAACACTTTTCACTCAAAGACCGACGACGCTACTCAATGTTTTACCTCTATCAGAATGCCATCATTAATCGATTTAACGCTACCGTTAAATCGGGCTGCAAATACGACCGACCTTTGTTAATAAATCGGTCAAAGCGATGAATTTCTCTTACCTGTATCTAATAAGGCAGTTTTCGGAGCCAAATATATGAAGTCCTTTGGTCTTGGCTAGAACCCTCCAGACATGGCTCACTTAGAACTACCTCCTAGTCTGATTGTAGTGATTCAATCCCAAAGGTTTAAATATTTTCAATCATAAGTCACTCAATGTTTTCAATTGGCTGGCCAACAGAAACGATAGATTGTCCATTTGTTTTGTTGTTCTTTTGTCAAAACATGGTAAAACACCAGGTTGCTGAAAATAGCGAATCAAACATGACGCCATCTGGCTGTTGATGGGATTTCGTCCAAGGTTGGAGAAACAATGAACGAAAAATGTCGGCGTTTTAGTTCAATTTTAGGAACAAGTTTGTCTCTTTTCTCATAAAAGTATGTGTATAAATGGATGTATTTAGAAGAAATGTATGTTTGCTGTTGAATATTACTGCACTAACGTCACAAGTTTATTTTTGCAGACAACCGAATTCGGTGAAGGCTCGAGGAAATGGGCTCCCTTATGTCATTAAAATTTATGGTGTTTTTGGAACAATTCTATGGTATGAAAAAATACTGGAAAAGGAAGTATAGCTTTCCAACAAACTTGTAGTCTCTAGGATATTGGCGCATGCTGTTTTATTATCGAAATGGTAAAATAAGTAATTTGATGAGTAGAGTACATCGAGCTTACAACTTTCTGGAATTGTTTTCAGCCTTAGATGAAAGAAGTTTAACAGGTTGTTTTTTAACGCCATTTCATAACAATCCTATGAGGATGTTCCCCCAAAACGTCTACTTTGTTTAAAACAAACGCCGGTTGGGTAAATTCACGAGAATAAGATATTTTTCACACAAAAAGATTGTGCCTAAAATATGTGCAAATCAGTTACAACTGATGAAAGCGCTAACAACTATAGACTAGGATTACGTACACTGTATGTGGTCACTGGTATATGAATTAAAAAACACCATTTAATTGCTTGTGAATCCCAAAACGTCCCGTTTACTTACTGTTTGATTTGCTAGCTCAGTGCACATCTCTTGTCACCTCACGTCACGCCAAACCAAATGGGGACTGGGTAGACATACCAGGAAAAATGGGAACGAGTGATAGGAGATACTTTTCAACCCAGAATTACACGCCGCGCCGTATTGCCTAGAATGATTGTTGTAACGCCGTAACACATCAGGTTAATTGCATAATAGACTGTGAACAAACTAGCATATTTCCACTGGCTTTCACTTCGAACTTGGTTTGCTCTATCTGAGAGATGGAACTATGTATCTTGGAACTCTTACAGACAAGTATCTCCAAGGATTGGAAAACGAAATATCTGCGTAAAGTTTAGATCGTGGTCACAGTTATTCCAGTTTCTCTCAGTAATTGGAATGAACAATTAAAAAGGGATCATTTTTGTGCACTATGAATTTGATGCCGAGCACTATTGGCCTTGGACCAAATTTTATCACTCGCCTGTAATCAAATGGGTTCTATTTGTTCAAAATTATGTGCGAAATCTTCTTAACATCAATTGAATGTATTGACGTTAGTTTGAGATTTGTTTTATTGACTCGACAGACGAATCTTTAAATGACAAAACAGACAAATTCAGCGTTGAATTGCATGGATTTATTTATATTTAACTACAATAAGGGAACTGATTTTTTTGGATTATCGCTATAGTCCTTCAGTAATCTTTTCACAGCACCATGGTATTCTATATTAGTTTACTCACACCATTTCTAACTCAGTCAGGAATTTAACACGTACTTTACAACTGAAGATATATCTGTCTATTCCGTACTTTTCTCGTGCTATTGAGGTATTCATCTACGTCAAGTTATTATTTCATTTTGTTCCCTAACTTTCATTAAGACTCTAATTGAAGACTACTCTGTCTTTTATTTTTCCATGCATTTCTTGAACGGATGCTTTTCTTAAATGAATTTCAGCACCAAGAGCACTAAGATGTATAACATAAATCAGCGATAAAAATGTAAATGTATTTCTATATAAAACAGAATATACTACGCCTCGAGAACGTTTTAGCTTACTTAGTAAGTATTAGCTGTAAAAATGACGACAAAAGGACGATACCTTGAATAATTTTAATGTCTATTTATTAAACTATTCTAATAGCTAGCCACTCATGTCGAGCTAGATTTGATACTGGTTAAATCGTTCTACAAACGAATCCTGTTTTTTCAAAACATATCATAATTTTACATGCTTAGAGAAGAAATGCCCGAGTTGCGGTGGCTGTTTGTTTCTCTCTCCATATGTGAGACTGAGAGGAATGTCAAGAATTTTCCTCTGTAGGAATTCAGGTGAGGCTTCTGTCGCTGGTGTGTGTTTGTTGCATTAATAGATTCAGTTAGTTCCGCTGGAAAACAATGATTATACCGACCTCTACTAACTATGTACCGACTTACTAACAAATAAAATCAAAATTACCCCTTTTTAGTTTTCTTCACTTTCAAAATGCTCTTTTGCTTTTTAGTTTTCTTTTTTGTCCCCTTTCCTCCTTTTTTAACTTCCTTCTTTTTCTTTTCTGTTTTCTTCTTAGTATTCTTTCGGTTTCCACCTCTGTTTTTACAACAGTAACTTGCGCAATATGGTGGACAGAAAACACCTGGAAAGTGAGTACATGACACGGGGCAATTGCTTGGAAAGACTGGTGTATACGGCTGGGGAGGAATGAAAGGCCGTGGAAGAGACGACGCTGGGGCTGCCTGAAGGGAAATTTCAGGAAGCTGAACAATAATTGAATGTGGAGCTGCAGGAGGAATCTTTGGTACATTCGGGTTGACAAGGGCAGGAACAACACCCCCAATAGCTGGCTGAGGTACTTTGGGAGTCATTAGGTTAGAGAAAGGATTTAGGACCTTCGAGGCAACGTAGCTTGGTGGCATAAAAGGTTGACGTGGTGGCATTAATGGTGAACACGGCGTAGTCGCAGTTGGAACACATGGCACTGGGGCGGAGGAACGGGCAGCTGATCCTTGAGGAGGTGGGCGAAAATTGAAATATACACTCCCTTGCACCTGCAGTGGCCTTGTTAACAGGATAGGTTTTGCCTCACTCTCGTCTGGTTTTGTTGGGGGCTTTGTTGGTATGTTTCCTGTGTTTGGAAGACAGGGATTCGCTACGGAAGGGATGCAGGGTTTCATCATGGAGAAAGTGTTTTGTCCCATAGGATACGGACGAGAGGGAAGACAGGGATTATTTATAGTAGGAATACATGGACCCGCAGCCGGAGGAGAAGGAGGAATAGCTGGTATTGGCTTCGGATACACTAAAATAGAGCCTTTTAGAGAAATGGGCCCTTTGGCTGGAATAGGTCTAGGTGGTTTCTGTTTTGGCTTGTCATCTAGAACTGGTTTCATGACAGGAGGATACTGGCGCTGAGGCATTGGAACCCAAGGGGACATCACCAGGGGCCTTCTCATAACCTGTGGCCATACAGGAGGGCGATACCCTTGAAACGGAGTACGATAGCCATACATATTTGGTGTGTATTGCGCTGGTCGCTGCAATAGGGAAAGAGGCATCACTGGTGGGGCAAACGGGGTATATGATGCAACTGGAGGCTGCCAATATGGTTGTTTTCCATAAGGAACTGGATAGGAACCTACAATTGGTTTAGGCATGACAGCTCGAGACTTCCCTTTCATATGCGAGGGTTTCGAAAGCTTTCTTGCTCCAGCCGTTGGCGGGCAAGGATAGAAAGGGCGAGGAATGCACAGTACAGGAACAGATAATGGCATGGGAAAGAAATTTGATGAAGGTGGTGGAGGTGCGGGTGGTGCGGGTGGCAGATGTATTACGTGTTGTGGTGGGTCCACTACTTTTGTAGTCTGGGTAGGAGGATTTATCGCTGGTGGACAAGGATCGTAAGCACTAGGAATACATGGTGGCTGCGTCTGAAGAGGTGGCAGATGACTTATATGCTGTGGTGGATCTGTTATCTTTCTCGTCTTATATTTAACACGGGGACTCATGAGAGGTGGACAGGGATTGTAAGCGCCAGAAATACATGGTGGTTGCATCTGAGGAGGTGGCAGATGAATTATATGTTGTGGTGGGTCTGTTACTTTTGTCGTCTTATATTTAACAGGGGGACTCATGAGAGGTGGACAAGGATTGTAAAGGCTAGGAATACATGGTAGTTGCATCTGCGGAGGTGGCAGATGAATTATATGCTGTGGAGGATCTGTTACTTTCGTTGCCTTTACAGGGGGATTCATCTGAGGCGGACAAATGTTGTAAGCACTAGGGATACACGGTAGCTGTACAGGTCTTGGTGGTTGTATAGCCATCCGATTCAAATACTTTGGCGTGAGAATAGGAGCTCCAGGCAACACCAGTGGCTGGACAAGTACTGGACGTGGCTGCGGCTGAAAGATTCTCCGGGGAATTCCCGGCTGAGGCATTTTATAAGATCCCCGTATCGTTTGGGCAGCTTGAGTTCCAGGTGGACAAGGTCTCTGTAGGGTTGGAACACATCTCACGGACAGAGTTACTGGCACAGTTACAGGCCGGGCTTGTGGAGCTACAGTTTGCGCAGGAAACATGTTAACTTGTGGGCTCATTGGGTACTTAAACAAACGAGGAAGAATCGATCCTTTAGGGGCTGCCTGGGCTATCACTGCATGTCGCATGCCGGTGTATTGGACGTTATTGGCAGCGACTATCTTTGAGTTACAACAGAATGGGTTGCAAGACACGACGCAGGTTGTGAGGCAGCTTGAGGTGCAAGTTCCCAAGACGGCTGGTGGGACGCCTGCAACGAGCAACACTTGCCTTAGACTTAAAGTAAGAAAGACATTTTCTTATATATATGCAAAATACACCTGCTTTTGCAAAATTATTTTGATAGCATCGCCAAAACTCCCGGTCACCTTTCTCAAAATAGAGAGCCTTCACTGAACTCTTCCCTTGCCGCCCACTTCTGGTAGATCAAGAGTTAAATCGCTATTACAGACAGTCATGATCTGAAAGGCTTTGTGTTAACGTGTTTACATGAACATCTTAGGAAATAACGAGAATCACGTCAACGATCGCGAATGCAAAACCTATCATTTTACAGTAATAATATCTATGTAGAAAATGTAAAGTAAAATCCATACCTGGATGCACTATCCTAACAGACTGAATAAGCGATTTTTGATTTAGAGGAGCTGAAAGTCGCCCAAGGTTCTTCCTCAAATGGTCTTGAAGTGGCTTAGTTGGGTCAGGAGCTACACCAGGACCAAACTTCAGAATGGTTGACACTGTTACTGTGGGCTTCACACTGGCGAATTCGAGCAAAAAAGATACTTAACCAGTAGCGGTCTTTAAAAAAACAATGACTTCCACTGAGACAATTTGTAGTGAAGTAGGGAGAGAATATGGATTGTAAACGTCTGCAATTTATGCTAGTTTTGCATCTCACATTTTGATGACAAATTGAGTCGTATCACTGATCATTATATGATCCTGCTCATTCACTTGCCGAAATGTCATTTGGCTCGACGACCACGCTGAGAGTGTCATAAGGCAAGTTATAAGGCAAGTTATAAGGCACCATTATTTCACCATGACAAATACAAATTACCGAGAGATAAAGCAGTTGATGAAGAAGGCTGTCTATGTCATCTGTTTGTCGTTCAGCCTGCGCGTCTGTCTATTCGTTGGTCAGTCGGTTTGTCGTTCTGTTGTTTGNGAGATAAAGCAGTTGATGAAGAAGGCTGTCTGTATCATCTGTTTGTCGTTCAGCCTGCGCGTCTGTCTATTCGTTGGTCAGTCGGTTTGTCGTTCTGTTGTTTGCACACCTAATGACAATTCAGAATCGTACATACTCGAGCAGCCTTCGACTTGTAGCATAATAATCGTTTAATTGGCTGAGAAAAACTAAATAGCAACCTACTTGGAGGTCCCACTCGAAGTTGGCTTTGAAGCCGGAGTTGTGGCCTGCGTGGTTCCTGGTGAAAACAGTGTTGGTCTGGTCGTTGGTCTGCCAGTTGCAACGGAGACAGACGATGTGGTGGTCTGGGAACCAGGTGTCGTTATTCCGGGCTTTGTTGGTTTGGTTGATGTTTGAGGGGATGGCTTCGTACTTTTACTATTTTTTAAATTTCAAATAAGAAATAATATATTATTTGTAAACATCACCATTATTGAACAGATTCGCTTTGAAAATTATTCAATTCAGTAATATTGCGGCTTGAACTGTTACTTACGTGAACTCTTCGACGTATCCCGATACAAAAGTAGTGTCGATTTTAAAAATTTCCAACAGCTGAAAAGAAGATTGTAAAAAAGATAAATAATAACCATACAAATAGGAAATATTTGCTATATCGACATTGTCCATCTAGAAAGTTTGAACGTTCTTTGCAGCCCTTCATGTTGTATGATGCATGATGATCATGATAAAGCCGATGGGTCAAGCAATCAAGCTCTGGCTATTGTTCTTGTATTGTTTTTTTTTTTCTTGGAAGATACAATTGCAACGAAAGAAATGCAACAAAGTTATGGTTACGTGTAACGAAAACCAGAGCTAGATAATGATTGCGTCAGCCTAGCTGGTAAGGTACTCAGGCTTAGGGATAAATTTTATTAACTGCACCAGGAGGAGGAGCCGGAGTGACCAGGTGGTCAAGGGGAGGGGGGTCCCGGGTCTCAAGAATGCCACTTCTGAAGTTGGCTGGTCTTTTGTTTACATTATCCCTAAAAGGTCCACAATGTCTTGGGGTGCGCAATACACTATGTTGAGGTAATTTGTAACGCTAGCTAGCTGCGGTGATGTAAAGGGAATCAATTATTCATTTACGGCCCTATATGCCTACCAGTGTTTCTATCTTTTGTTTCAGCTCCATATACGATAGTGTGGTCGTTTGGCTATAGTCATCTGTCCACAGTAAGAAAACCAGCTGAAGTTTCACTCGATATGTTATGAGACCTGAAATGTTTGTTTTCAAAAGAAGACAACGTTTTCGTGAATGAAAATTATTGCTTTAGTTCATACTTGTCTTTTTGTCTTGTCTTTGTTATTAGCTGTAAATCTGTCTTGGTATCTTTCGTGTTTATTTGCAAGTATTAATTTTAGGAAGGGCGAGGATGGATCATCAGGTTGTAAACTATATGGATAAGCGATTTCATCTCATGATATGTTTAACGACTAGCAAACATATATCATTCATTCATTGAGATCTTTTTCTTTTGTGTATGCAGTTTAAAAAAAAGGGAAAGAAAGGAAACGATTACGTTTCCCAGTCCGATCAAATAGCATTCCACTTCGTACGAACGGTGGTCACTACAAGAAAATATGTTTGTTCCTATTATAAAAAATCTATCTCAAAAATTATCAATAATCTTGAAGTGAAGCCCTCACCTTCAAGTGGTTGCCTTGAAATGTAAGTATGAGGCTCAGTACATGGAGCATCGGACATGGTGCCGTAACTGGACATTTCAATGCAAACACAATCCTCTTTTGATCCAGTTGGTTCGTTTACTTTCCAGCTGGTGTATTCGACGCTGGTGCCGTCAGACCAAGTATAAGTTCCCTCAGTAATCAGATCGTTCAGGCCTGTCCAAATTAAACCTGTTTTTCCTGTAGGGACCAGTTTCTGTACGAAAGTTTCCTCTGATGTCTTGTGAAACGATATCAAGGTAGCGTTTTCCTTTGCGCTCTGGAACAATGCTCCGTCCCAATTCTGCTTGTCTGAGTGATACTTGTAACAAGTGCCGTCTTCATTCGTATAGCCAGGGTTGCAAGACACTATGGCTGTTAAATAAACAGCACAGTGTTAAACAACGTGTCAGTCTTGTATGTATAGAGCGGTTTACAATTGAGTGTCGTAAAACCAAAACCAATTTCAAAGGACACAGACAAGAATACAGTTAACCAATCAAAACTCGAAGTAATTTCATATAGCTGACGCGAAACGCGGGAAAAAGAGTGCGAGCGAGTCACAATGGGTTTTGGTTTTACTTTTGATTGGATGACATAGTGGCGCGAGTTTTTTTTTAAGCCAATCGTGTAGCGTAGTTGATGCAAAACCAATCGCTATTGGACACTCATATGAAGACCGCTCTCTAGAGCCTGGCTAATTTGATTTAATTTAATTTACAGAGAAAATGAAATAAAATAAATAATTCACTGGGTCAGAATATTTATCATCAGTACTGTGCTAAATGAGGATACTGTAAATAATCAAACAAATGTTGTGAATAGARCAGAAGACGAATGCSACTAGATAATTACAATTTTGCCAAATKTCATGTTGGAGAATAAMGATTAATAAGCCRGGTGCCATTCAGCAACTCTACGGATGCATTACGAAAATATAAAAYATAAGAAATATAAAAAMATGACTCACCACTCTGCAGCAGGATGAACACATCTAAAAAAATTCAAAACGTAAGGTAGTTAGATCAGAGAAAGCAAATCTCATTATAAAATGTCCTCGATTACGTCTTGTTGACTAATTAATAAAAGGGAATTGAAGAATGTAATTAACTAACAGGATTACATAGTGACTAGTCAATTAAAGGAATGTAAATCTTGAAAACACTTTAACTTAAGCAGAACATAAAAAAAGAGTAAGAGGATAAGAATAATACGCAAGACATGTCAAGAGCTATAATAAAAAAAGTCATCTTTGAGACATTCAGGTCCGTTTTACTAGAGTTACTTTGACTTATTTTGTGAATGTACCTGTGTATGGTAGAACGTTGTCTTTCAGTAAAGATGGTGGTTTATTTCCCGGCATTGGGTCAAAGTACACCACAACAAAAAACTTTGCAGTTCGCGACCTGGTCAATCCAACGCCTACAAAGTTACTTGAGAGCCATATAAGGTGAATGAAAGGCAACGCGAGAACTTTTAACTGTCGTCTCGCCCAGTCATAATGCTTCACTGAAGTGTACCATGTGACCACAGACGTTTGAGCCAATCCCGTTCGAGCACCAACCTTTGAGAAGACATTCGTGCCGTAACTCGTGTTCGGATCTATCGACGTGGTGCCACGACTGAGCAACGTTTGCGCCCAGTTCTGAGCGGCTATGGAAATGCGAGTCGAGAGGATAAGCGGGCCTGCGCCGTGGAGTCGTCGGAATCGGTTGATGTACTCCACAACTTCTATTCTGAATCCGTCTGAAACGAAAACAGGATTTAACGTTTAACTGACTTCTAATTAACTTTTATTATACTCAATTTTACAATACCATGGCTTCAAATACTGTATCGGCTTTCTATGGCCTGCATATAAATGGAATTTAATCTTCCCTCTCCTTAGAGAAGGTGTTAGAGTCCTCTTCCGTTTTTGTTTCAGGAAACTTTCTTGCCTTGTATTCCCAAGAGCAACCAACACTCTAATGTAGTCATACATGTACCACTGATAGATGTATGGTTAAAAGATAAAGAACTCGTAAAATACAATAAAGATGTTAAAATATCTTTAAAGTATATTCATAAGATATATGTATGCCGTTGAATTTTCCATGGAAATAAGAAATTTTAAAGAAACAAACACGTGAGAGGATATGCATAGAAATGAATAAAGGGTGTAAAGACTTTGAGCTGGTCAAACGACGAAATTCACATAACTTAAACCTAATGCTATTGCTTTTACCCAACTTATGCAAAGTTTGATTTTTGAAGTAACCAACCTATATTCGTAATAACGCCTGGTGTGGTAACTCGTCCTGTGCCAGATGGAGTGGTGGACTTTCCTGCAGTTGTAGTTGAAATCTTTCGGGCAGGTGAACCTTACAAAGACAAAGAGAACATGATGTTTCCCCACTAAAAATCTACTGTCACAAGGATTGTGTTAATCATATAATCAAACGAAATATGAGGCAACCAAATCAGTTTATTCCATGAGAAGACAACTCAAAGAGATCGTGCCTGACTCTGAGAATGTATATTAATTTCCACTGCCTACTTTTCCTTTTTGTGTTGATGTTAGTGTTTTTAAGAGACAACTTGTTAGTTGACGTTCGATAACACGTATCGGGTTTGTCATTCATTCAACGTCTCCCGGAGCCACGAGGAGCAGCAGTACTTATTATCCACAGTAACACATGGTTATTGGAAGAACTGTTGTCCGTTACCTTAACACGTTTTTTCGTTTCCATTGTATCTATTCTAGCCTGTTGCTTTCATAAAAAAGAAGAAAATTAAAGATAAGGAATGGTTACCTGTTAATCTAGTGGTAGGTCTTCCCGTTGGTCTTGTTGTAGGTATTCCTGTTGGTCTTGTTGTAGGTATTCCTGTAAAGTAACAATTTTATTTTTTGAGGGTAGCACACGACAGTAAAAACTGATAAACCAGTGGCCCTCAATCTAAATTACAAATACAGTCAAACCTCTGTTAAGCGGCCACTCTCGGGGACGAGACAACTGGCCGCTTAATAGAGGTGGCCGTTTAATAGAGGTTCACCCGAAAACAACATTGGGCGTGGTCCAGTTTTCACTTTATCAAATATATAAGTACAAACAAATGCAAGTGGAGAAAAAGTAGAACAATAATGGTTATAATACGGTCCATAACGTCAACAAAAGCCAAAGAAACGATCACTTTTCCACATTGTCATACTTTTAGATTTATCTGGCTAAAAACGTCCTACTTCAAATCTTCCTGGCCGTTTAATAGAGGTATAGAAGAAAACAAAATCACGCTTGGGACGGCAAGAGCTGGTCGCCCGCTTAATAGAGGTGGCCGTTGAATAGAGGTTTTTATTACAGTGTATAGCTGACAATTTGTCTGGGACTTTGGCCGCTGGCTGCCAGATAAAAGTTAGCCCCTTAATAGGGGGGCGCTTAATAGAGGTTCTACTCTAATAATAATACTAAGACAAATACAGCAAATTAAAAATGTAAAATACTAGAAAATGAGAGAAAGTATATACATCAGAATTCTCTGATGAAAAGACATTTATACACGTAGCGTAGAAACTAGGCTAAAAAGTATTTTTTAAGAGCAGTTTTAAAGGCGTCAACGGTGTCTTTCTTATCGAGTGAATCGCATTCCAAAGCTTAAACCCACGAACTTGAAAAGTACTCCCCCTCCCTTCAGTTTCCCTATTATAACGTGGACACACCAAATTACACATTCCATAGCGGTTAGCTCTGGTGACACTCCTGTTATCTGCATTTCTAGGTAATAGGTTCGTAATATACCTTGGACAGTCTTTTTCGTTTTTTATGCGCCTAAATATTAAACTCCAGCTCCAGCAATAGTAAAATAGCCTGATAAATTAATCTTAATTAAACTAAGTTTAATACGCCAATCCAAATTTAATTTTGCCTTACAGTAAAGAGAATAACAAACGAGGAACGGGCAAATTACGGCGATATTAATAACTACTTGTTAACCGTGCCGTGAGTGAGACCGCCTTGCCTTATTGCCCAAACAATAGCGAGGTCAATACGGCAAGGCCAAGGATTGAGATCTTTACCGAACAATCGAGGTTAACAAGTTGTTTATTATATGGCTTTTTGCTTTGCTCTTGCAGGCCCGTAATCGGCTCGTGGACATCACGAGAGAAAAATGCTCTAGAATTGGCCAATCAGAGCGCACGTTATATCGGCTACAAACACAAGCCACATAATAAGTAATGGACAGCGGATAGAGAGTTTAAAGTGATTAATACTATCCTTGCAATTGCAATCAGCAGGCTGCTTTTTTTTTTCAGCAGCCACAAGGATAATTTCTTTAACCAGAAGTGACAGAGAAAACGAAGTGAAATTTATTTGTTTATGTATTTATTGATTGATTGATTGATTTATTTATTACCTTCACATCTATGCCCACGATAACCAGGTTTACAGCGACAACGATAACCAGTTTTATCTTTTGAATCGAAGATACAGCTTCCGCCATTTTTACATGGGCTGGAAAGACAAGGATCTTTCTCTGAAATTATACAAAGAAAAGTCTTGATATAAGAGGAAGAGAAAATGGTTATTCAAAGGAATGCAATTCAACAATACATTATTATATTAAAAACTGGATCATTGGATAATGCAGTTCAAGAGTTTTCATTGGCTTAGCCATCATGGTATATGAGCCATTATACCTTGCTCTACACAAATGGTTAGCGTACGCGTGATTCCTTGGGGCGCTTTTATTTTTATTTTAATTTGTTCTACATTTTAGGGGCGTTTTTAATAAAAAAAAATATATATTCCACTCACGCTTGTTAGATATGAGATGGTTATAGCCAACTCGATGCTTCCCGCCTGGTCGGGTATCAACCATCTTTTATCTAACGCACGCTCGTGGAATAATTGTTAAATACACTGATTGCATAGAGATTACATTAAGCCACTTACGGTCCCTAGCAGCACACTTCTTCTTTATGGTCGCTATCTGATTGGAGGTCAACATCATTCCATATATTTGCAGGCACGTGACCCGACCTCTAAAATACTGATTAACACCACTCACGGCACCCATTCGAATGGAATGCTGGGTAGCCAGGTGTATTCGGCTCATTGTTGTACGAAAAACCTGAAACATCAAATAAATGCAAAAGAAAA